AGAGAGAGAGAGAGAGAGAGAGAGAGAGACAGCGAGAGAGAGAGAGAGATTTTACATAAAAGCTGGTCTTTTGAACTATTCATCAAAACATCATGAAAAAAGTATCACAGGCACCACCAAATATTTGACTGTTTCCAACAATAATGATAATAAGTTAGAAATATTTCTTGAGCCCCAAATCAGCATATTAGAAAAATTTCTGAAGGATCAGGTGACATTGAAGACTGGAGTAATGGTTGCTGAAAATTCAGCTGTGCCATCACAGGAATAAAATTACCTTTTAAAATATTTTCAACTAGAAAACTTAGTTATTTAAAATTGTAATTTTATTTCAAAATATTACTTTCAAAAACTCTTTTCAAAAACATTAATCTTCTAAACCCCAAACCTTTGATTAGTAGTGTATGCAGGTAATTCTTCTGAAATCATCGTGAGAACATTCAACACACTAACAATTTAATTTAGAGCAGTTTGATTACAACTGCAATCATTTAACTTATTAAATGTATATTTGTTAAACATATGATTTTCATTTTAAATGTAGATTCTTAAGATTTCATGTGCTTTCATGATAAAGTTTATTTACAGCCATGGAACTAAAGTAGTGACACATACTTAAAGATTTCTGTTTATTTATTATAGAATAATGAATCTCTTATTTTTCCTGTGTTACCTGATTTGCATATTCCCTTCAATAAATTGGGCGCATCAACAATGAAGACAGCACAAACAAATAACTTTAGTTATAAGTTACACATTCATCAAAAGCAAACTGTTGGCCACCGATCTCAACCACACATTCATTGTGTTACAGTTCTTTTTTTTGTTACAGTTTATTTTTGTTCTTCCCTTTTGCAAGATTGTGTAACATGGGTTAAGTACATAAAATGTTCCAGCTAATATTTGTCTTGCTGCTGAGCTATAGGTTGATCTGTAGTTGTACAATGTACATTGAGAAATGCTGATGATCAGCTAAATCAGCAATCTAGTGCAGAAAGTCAATGACCTACAAATGCATTCATAATAATGAATACAATTATTCACATCCAGCTGGAGCAATCAAAGCATGTCTTAACAGCACTAATAAAATACATTTTGATATGTGTACATAAACTACGACGATGCATATGTAATATTATTAGAAATAAATTATAACCAATACAGCTGCTGAAATGTGTCTACCTACCTTGCTGCCAATGATGGAGCGTACTTCATCATCTGGGGAAGTAGGAGTGCCAGAGATGTCTGGGTTGCTGTTGCTAAGGCTACGAGAGCGGTTGAGGTTGAGGCTTGCCGGTCTAACAGCAGAACGGGCCATGGTGGCATAATGCACTGAACCGCCCAATCCTCCAGGGCCTATTACGCCAAAAACAATAAATCAAAATTGAAACACACTGGAGTAACAACTAATTTGACCTAATCTTAAACACTCCAAAAGCCACAGATTTAGAGACCTAAAATCAAAAGATCAAGCTGAAACCTGACCTGGAGATGGGGAGTTGGGGTCCATGTTGGGCAAGCGGAAGACATAGTGGATATATGAGGAGAGAAGGCTGTTTCGCCCATGCATATCTTGACTAGTGTCCAAGTACTTATGTAGACGGTTCACTATGGATGCCATCACTTCAAAAGAAGCCTGACCAAGATTCACTACAGCAGAAAGAAAATAAAACACAAGATCTTTAAGAAACAACAGCCAAGGTCAAGAAACTAACAACTATTTTATGCAGTTCTCACAATCAAGCTAAATACTAATATATATATATATATATATATATATATAT